TCATGTGACCTCATTATTTATGCACATATCTAATTTCTAGAGATAATCTTATATAAACATACTGTGGATTTCAAAAAGTAAAGCTTTATTAGTAACTAGGTTTTTTGTTTAAAAGACTAAATTTGTAATTTGAAAATTTTTTTATTACTGCTTCACATATCTCTAATAACCTCCGCACAGTTCTTCTAACCTTTTTTTAGATTGTTTATTGATCATGAATGTGTATACTATGTGGTATGTAAACATGTCTACTATGAGGTTATTTTGAAAATACCGCAAAGTATGCATAAAGGGAGTATGGTGATCGTATCAACTGACACATAGCTATACTGCCTGAGGGCATACTTTTGCAGTATTCTCGTGATACCTTACTATTATACATCTTTTCCTTGCTTGTAGTTATAATTCTATGAGAGATAACAACTCAAAATGGCAATGAATAATGTTTCGTACTGTGTGAATGTTTGCATTCAGTGACAAAATTTGCTGCTATCACTTCTGTGTCTGAAGTAAACAAAGAAAAGTGTTTAAACATGATGCACAATTTCAAAAAAAGAGACATTTAAACATGTTTATAATACTTTTGAGCATGTCCGTACAGTATTTTACAGATGGGTAGAGTTTATCATTTTTATGTCAGATGTATAGTATGTGATGTGTACGATGATTAATGGTAAATATGTATATTATGACATGCATGTTGCAATCCACTTTATATTGGTAATTATAAAATAACTTTGAACTGTTGAATAATGCAGAAATATACTTCTCACTATTCACAGATGAGTTTTGATGGGTTTTTTTTTGCTCGCTTGGATTTTGCTGACAAAGACAAGCGACTGAAAAACAAAAACATGGAAGAAGTTTGGCATGGAAGTTCATCACTTGGCGCTGATGCTGATCTATTTTATGGTGCACTATTTCACCATTATGATGCACCTGAAGGATTTTGTTTTGATATGTCATGTAATGATCAACCAATTCAGGTATTGTACTTTGCAGATGACCTTTGATGGTTTCTTCTTTGGTCGCCTTGACTACGCGGATAAAGACAAGCGTCTAAAGACAAAAACTATGCAACAAGTTTGGCATACCTCCAGTAGTTTAGGATCACAGACTGATCTCTTTTTTGGTGCTTTATTTAATGGGTATGGACCCCCTAGTGGTTTCTGTTTTGACCAATTTTGTGATGATTCTCCATTCCAGGTACCAGTAAATGTACAAAAGTACATTATTATCATTAAAAATTAAATTATTAGTTTAAAACTTGGTGTGGTCAGTTTAAAACTTGGTGTGGTCAGTTTAAAACTTAGTGTGGTCAATTTAAAACTTAGTGTGGTCAATTTAAAACTTAGTGTGGTAAATTTAAAACTTGGTGTGGTCAGTTTAAAACTCATTTAAGATCTGTTTAATATTCAATTGTGTTTAAATCAGTTTAAACTCATTTAATGTCACACATTTTGCAACAATTAAATCATAATTTTTTGGGCACATCTTAATTCTTATTAAAGTTTCTAAATATATATATATTTTGTGTATGCAATTTGATAACTATTTTTTGACTCCCATGTGCGAAGCACAAAATGGGAGTTTTTGCAGTTAGTGTGTCTGTATGTCTGTGTGTCTGTGTGTGTGTGTGTGTGTGTGTGTGTGTGTGTGTGTGTGTGTGTATGTGTGTATGTGTGTATGTGTGTCCGACTGTTCCACTGCTATCTCAAGAACCATACATCGGTTTTTGATGAAACTTGGTGCATAGATGCTCTGGGCCAATGCGCAGATTTGATTAGGTTTTGGTAAAAATCCATGCTCGTTAATTACCCAATTTGCATGATAATTAGCTAATTTTTAGCTGTTCTATGACTGTTCCACTGATATCTAAAGAACCACTCATTGGATTTTGATGAAACTTGGTACATAGATGCTCTGAACATATGCGCAGATTTGATTAGTTTTTGGTAAAAATCCGTGCATATTAATTACCTAATTTGCATGATAATTAGCTATTTTTTAGTGGTTCCATGACTGTTCCACTGATATTTAAACAACCACTCATTGGATTTTGATGATGCTCTGAACTAATGCTAGGTTTTGATTAGTTTTTAGTAATAATCCGTGGATACTAATTACCTAATTTGCATAATGATTAGTCAATTTTCGGTTTTTCCACTGATATCTCAAGTACTAATCATCACATTTCAATGAAACTTGGTACATAGATGTCATATGACACTGCACAGACCTGATAGTTTTTATGGTATTATCAGTACATATAATTACCTAATTTGCATAATTAATTAATTTTCAGCTTTTGATATAAGTAGTGAGCATTACATTTCAATGAAACTTGGTACTTACATACTCAAGGACTATGCAGAGATTGATTGTTTCGGATAAATATTTGTGCATATTAATCACCTAATTTGCATAATTAGTTAATTTTCAGCTTTTCCACGGGCATCTCAAGTACTAATCATCGCATTTCAATGAAACTTGGTACATAGATCCTTTAGGACTATGCAGAGACCTGATAGTTTCAGGGTAAATAATTGTGCATATTAATTACCTAATTTGCATAATTAATTTTCAGCTTTTCTACTGATATCTAAAGTACTAATCATCACATTTCAATGAATCTAGAATTATGCAGAGACCCAATTATTTTTTGGTA